TTTGAGCCTCAACTAGGTCGACGAGCTTTTTGCGGTTGGGCAGTCAGTTAAAGGAAGGTTGTCGGGAAATGTTTCGCTGTCAAAGCCACCATTTAATAATGTTCTCTGCCATTAGTACTGTAGCTGGACGTAGAACAATCTCGGAAAAAATTTCGATTCTCGCTGTCATTTCCGAAATGTATAATTGCCGTGTTTACAACAAAAAAACATGAGTCCTCATACAAGTGCGCATTTGGCACGTTCAGCCAAGTGTCGAGGTAGAGTGTGATACAGTGTGCAAGTACTCGTATGCGTCTATTAAGGCCATGCAAGGGAGAGCTACCATTCACAAATTGTTCAAAATGGTCATATTTCAGTCAGAACCTATGAGCTTCGATGAAGTGAAAACCAGATAGCAGCTTATATATTGACATTTCCAGGGTGACCTTCAGAACTGCGTTAATGCTGGTCTTCAAGGACACATGAATGCGTTGCTCATTGGTCAAGTGGCACAAAGAGCTTTTTTAGGATTTGGTAACGTGATACTGTGTTATATAATCTGTCCGTAGGAAGACTGAAAACCCAGAGACCACAATTTTGGGTACTGAGGCAATATTGATAGTGAAAATTGAAACCGGGATGGCTATTTCTGGTATATTAGGTGTCCTTGTGTGGTAATAAGGTTTATGACACCATCAATGAGTACCACTGCCATTCCAGAGGGAGCACAGTTGTGCTTGCCGGTAACCAAGTGAACTTACAAGGCATCTACCCCACTCCTCCCCTCGTCTCATGTCCGCTACCTTCCGATAGGGAGGCAAAGTCAAGACGACCAGAGATGCGCGTGGGCTGCAAGCTTCGTGTTGTTCCTTACTTTCCATCACGACGTAATCAGCATCCTTGGTATCTTACAATATTTTCAGCACAGCTGACTTGATAAAAGGCATGCACAAGCCAGGTTTTGACATCACACAGTTTGTAGCATGCCACATTAACAGTAAACATCACAGAGACTAAAAGATGCGTGGATATTTTGAGTTCGGAAACGGCTTTCTTGTTAAGATTCCTCGACTGAATTGACCAGTGCTAGTTCTTAGCCCGATTAAGAAAACCTATTCCGTTGGTCGACTTGTGTGTTCCTTAAAAGATTAGAAATCTGCAATTCAATTTAAAAAAAAACTGTTGATGGAAAAGTAGACGCAAATAATGAAAGACGTATCTTACTGCCGAGCATGTCACGTGTTCACTGGGAGCATGTGCCTATTTAAATAGCCATTATCGATTAGCCAGCCCGGAAGCGTGTACAAACCTGGCCAAGTCCGGTAGATCCAGCGCGGAATGTTCGTTTATCACGACGAATGTCCTCACTGAGTAATTTCGTGACACCCATTAACTGCGTGAGCTTATTATGATCCGTTCTGTGCCTGCACATGGTCGATAGACAGCTGAAGGAGGCTTGAGACCGTCTGAACTACTAAAATACTAATCAGGGTGAATTTTTAAACAGGCCTTTCTCGCATTACTGTTGTCACAATAGCATTTATTCTGACACGTTGACTGTATTAAAAATCGCAGTCTCCGGTTAGTTCAGCAGTTGTCGCTTCAAACACCGGAAGGAGAACATAGCAATATCACTGGTAGATCATTCATATGACAGTAAAATGCGCAAAATCACGTTTCGAGCGGGCAGTTGGTCGTTTTCCCCTACACATACTATCCGTGAGCGTGCATTCACATTCTGCCATTTCGCGGTTCTTAAGTGATTTAACCTAGACTGACTCATTGGGAAGACTTCTGTGGGATTTCGGTAATGCACGTTTTTATCCCCGGTAAGAACTGAGCTAGTTATCCTGTGCGGTGTGCGTTTTTACGTTTACCTGATTGATGCTTAGTCCGAGGTCTTGGTCGAGTGAATGAATGATTACTCGGGGTACTGAATAAACCAGAAACCGCTATTCTGTCAGCCCCTATATTCTATTTGTTTAAGGCTATTGCCTGCACATATGTAGCCACACGCGACCTGAATCCACAAGAATGTCTTGAGCTTTCATGTGGAACGGCTTGGAACTCGCAAGCGTGAGAGTGCCTTAAAAACCACACTGAGAAAGAACCGTTGGGTCTGATTCTCAGCCTTTAAGTCGGTCCCCCAAATGGACATGTAGTACTAATCACAATAATCGACTTACCTCGCCAGCTGTCGGTTTTCAAAGTCATGGCTTTAAGAATATCGCGAGATTTTCAGGGTGCTTCGGATTTTTTTAATAGTGAGAAATGAGCTAAAGTGTCGTGGGATTAAGGTCCACAGTCGATAGCAATCCCACATCCCTGCTCTATGTGCTACTTGAGTGTTTGAACCTGTTGGCCATCTGGGGCGGTGATTGGCTCCTCTAACCGTGCAACATGCTACCTGGTTACCACTTCATGCACAGACATAAACCATGAGTAGGATCGGCACCTAAAAACGCCGATCGTACCAGCACCGGCGAAGCTGGTCACATGCTTCCTGTCGAGAAGAGGTATGCTTGTTACGGAGTCTGGTTCGTGGGATGCACAGTGTTCATAGTGTGCCCTAGTGTGGTGTGCTTATTAAAGTACTGCGAGGTGTGATTATGGGGTCTGGAGTGTGGTGCGGTTATGTGAGACTGTAGTTCTGGTCTCTATACACCGGTTCGCCGGTCTAAGTGTGATAGGTTCGCAAGTGGCCGACTAAAAAGGGTGGGAGGCGAAGGTGTGATCGCAGGTAGCCTTGTACATGAGGCGGGACTGGGTTGTGTGTGGCACGCGTAGACGGACGGCTCAGTTTCGTCAGGCATTGTGCCCGCGGCCACCTCTGGCAGTAGGAAATTTGTCCGTCCAACAGAATAAACTGAGTAAAGATAGGGAGAGCGCGACAAATTCTGCGCAAACGAGCAAGAGATTAAATCTGTGTCGTTTTGTTTTGCATGTTTTAACAAGTGCTGCTTCCAGACAAATAAAACGGCAACAAATGTATCACAGAGTACTTGAAAAAAGTTGTCAGATAAGTTTATGAAATGCGGTTGAAAAGTTCTCGTCGGAGTGGAAGTGGAAACGCTGTGTCAAAAGAAAACAGTCACAGAAAGCAAGTGTTTTCGTTGAATTTAAAAATAGTTCTACTGAAAGTCATCGTTTACACGGAAGTTTACAGTAAGCATGCTCTCTCTGAAGAAACATGAAGGAGGAGAGTAGGACGTTTAAAAGTGGCGGTTTTGGTAAAGAAGTTAAGCAACATCTAGGAAGGCCCGGAAATTTTAGAAGATCAGAAACTGGAAAAGTCAGTCGATCACGACCCACGTCCAAAGTCATCACAAATACCAGAAGTATTAAGTGTTGATCGATTCACCGTTGACAAACATTTTCGTGTAATGACACTAACGCAAAAACAAGGAATTTTTTTGGCAGCACGAGCAAGGAAAACTTTGGAAGCACGTCGTTGTGAAGTCGATACATAAAAGTCTTGTTGGGCAGGGTAAAAAACTGGCTTGATCAATATATTTCTTGGAAATATATACAGGATTTCTATCGCCGTATTCACATGTTACCCGGTAGATGGCAACAGACAATATACTGACCTAATACTTTGATTAAAGCACTTTCGATAGTTACTTTAAGAGAAAACGTTGCTTTTTTTCGAAAATCACGGCGTTTGCGTCCATAGCATGAGCCAGGGAGTGGGCTCCGACGTTCTCGACAGTCAACCTGCCATGTGCCTTGCGTTGCTTTGAGTGATCGAGTTGATATCCGTCCACGGGCTGAAGCCCGGTGCTTCTAGAGTAATTTGAAGCAATTGTTCTTCAGGCGCCTTCATGATGAAACTGCGTGACCTTGAGCTGTACGACCTCTGGGACGAAGAAAAAAATTGGTACAGTGATGTGGGCCTTCTCTGACAAACATGTCAAGCTTCTTGCAGTTTGAAATAAAACTGGGAAATTTTACCAACCATGAATAAGTAGGCAGAAATGACCATATTTAATTGCCATTAAGAAATAAGGCTAAAACTTATACCCTAACTACGGCTAACAACTTCTGTACTATTAAAAGACAGTCCTTGAAACCAGCATTCGTTTGCCGATCGACATAACATCTAACAAATAACTGACTTCTACAACTTACTCTTGCGTCATCTGATATGGAATTGCATAGGTTATAAACATTATACGAAGTCCATATTTTTGACAAATCGATTTTGAAAATTGTTTTCCTAAAAGCCAGCTCGAGATAAGGATTGGAGGAATGATCCTAAGCATCTCTGGCATAAAAAGAATACCTACTATACACATTTAAGTGGATCTTAGTCCGACACGATTATTTCGTGTACAGTCTTAATGAAAAAGGTACTGGGAACTGGACTTTTTACGAGACTGCTTAGGAGCCCAATTAAGTCAACTTAAGAGTTCCTCGTCGAGCGTCTCGTGTGGAACGTTAAAACCGGAAAAAGTACCGCCTGTTAATTACAATGTTCTTCACTCCCTCCACCCCATAGTCTCTTCTCACAGAGTTAGTACAGATATCTTAAAGGGGAAGAAGATGAAATGTTGGAAGCCCAAGACTAAGCATTTGAAACTACTTGAGCCCGAAAAGCCAGCATTTGCCACTTTACGCGAACTATTTTAAGAACGACGAGCGGATAATTTAGCGTCTGTTACACCTGGTGTCGTCCCTGACTTAGTTTCAGCTCCCTGATGATTATTTCAATACGAGAAACGACTGCCTTTCCGAAGATTCGTGTACTTTTCTTTTGATTGTATGCAAATTACTGTGCGATATGCGTACCTTGCAGTTGATACCACTATCCGCTCCTTGCCAAGCGCCCACGCGGCAATCCAAGGTCACGAAATTCAAACCAAAACTATCGACCGCTGTCTGTCTACAGTGCTGAATTAACCTACGGAGCAGAAGCAGGACAGAGAGAGGGTATTGCCACTTTTTTTCACTTTGATAATTCGCTTAGGTTCAGAAACACAAACACGAGAAAGAACACAGACATTCCCAGAAGTCGGAAGATGACGACATCCGCCCTGGTGGATCGCACCTCCTACGATATCACCAATGAAGTCTCTGAGGCACAAAAGCTCAGCGTCTCTGCTTGCGATGTCAACAAGTTCGGCGACAGCGATCTCAAGAATGCAGGACCCCTGGCTACAGCCAATAGTCTCCAGTGGCTAAAAACCTCCATCTGTGACCTCTCATTTTCGACCAATGATTCCGAAAATGACGGCCTCAAAACAGTCACCGTGCCAAGTGTTGCCGTCAGAAGACAGACTCCCTTGCTGGTTAATCCGCCTCGGCTTGCCCGACGGTTTGCTGACTGTGAACTGACAGGGGACTGCCAGGTCTCAGAGGCCTCCGATGTGGAGGAGCTGAAGAAGGAAATACGCCGGAAGTCACAAAGCGCGGCCCTGACCCCTCTGCCAGTGGAGGGTTCGGAGACCAACAGCGAGCTCAAGGGAGATCAACAGAAGAAGGTACATTTGGAGAGCAGACTCTGGAAGTTTAAGTTGTTTAGCCACTTGAAGATAAGTTTAAAGAAATCTCGCTCGAACACTGCCAATGGACATCCCGGTGATAACGTAGAGAGAACGAACACGAAACTGCAGATGGAAGATGATGAAATGGAAGTGACGGAGACGGAACAGATGACTGACGACCGACGTCCAGATCCGGATGAATTGTCCACGATATCCGACTCTGCGGGATCCAAACCGAAAACAACTAGGAGCACCTTGAACTTCCGTCCGAAGGCTGACATATTTCACCTACTCAACAACATGAAGAATCACCTGCTAGTGCGTCGTCCATCCTTCTTTTCTGTTAGCGAGAGCTCCATAGACAGCACCTGTACCTGAGTTGTTGACAATCAAAGTTTTGGTTCTCTGCGTTTTTTTCAAGTCCATCGTCAGAAAAAAAGGCAAGAAGTGCCAGAATTCTCACCGCTCCAAGCCAGTGCCAAGCTGGCATTTTAACTCCTTGTTTCTTTACTTGATGCAATAAATTTACGTACTATTTTTTTCATAATGATCGCTCTGCGCCAGTATAGTTTTACTAACTCAGCCGTGCAGTCGAGCTTGCGATTCGCGAAGAAGCTGACTTGGCCTTCTGTAGAAACCTTGTGAACTAGGGCAGAAGGGAATACCTAACCGGTCTGCTAAACTAATAGTGACGAGACGAATTGGTAAGATGTGGTTTGGTAGCCCCACCTGATGGACAAAATACTGTTGTGGTTGGGGTAAAGGACTAGGTTAAGGGGTTATGGTTAGGGCTTAGGGCAACTATTTCTTGACCATTCGTAGTACAACCGCGTAACCCCAATAGCTTTTCTTTTGCGTACATCTACGTGACCTCGTCGCCTGTGCGTTCCCCGGCCACACATGCAAAAACCCCTATTATCATTGATACCGTATTAGAGGAGACTGGGGTTGGTTTACTTCAGGTAGGGATACATAACCACATCCGAACAGCGAATTTTTAAAAGATTTTATACCCGCTCGCACAGGCACCCTGGGTCGTTGAGGCAACAAATATCTAAAAATGGTATTCTGCTGAAGGCAGGGAATCAAGGTCGATTGGCGGGTGTTTCTGTAGCTAATGCCTCTTACCTGTGCTTGCGTACAGCCGATCGGTTTCCTTTAAAAGGATTGGCAACATGCTGCTTTCGAACAGATCTTTTTACCTAGTCAGATAGACTTTCCACTAGCGGTTCCGTGTCTACACATTGTCCATAGTTCCTTGCTACTTATTTAGGTTTTATTTATTTGTAATAGCACGACAGGACAACGGGCCCGTGGCTCAATGGTAGAGTTTCAAACTGCATGACCAACGATTTCGGGCTCGAATCTCAAGTGGTCCACAGATGGGCTTGGGTATGATTGGCCGATGACGGTTTATAAGCCAGAATTGGTCATTCTGGTCTCTCATGTCTTTGCCGGTACCATCTCAATTACGTCTACTGTAAGTCGCTGTGTGACTGCCCGCAAAGGATCTAGTATGAGTCCTAAGACACAAAGGAACGAACACTTTCCGTAACCTGATCGGTGAGCTCCCACTGCCAATCTGTAACAACATACATACCACATTTGGTTGTATTCGAAAACATCTCTTTGGTTTCGTGAGCAATGTGTTGAATCCAAATATTTTCTTTCATGTACCCAGCGTCGGGAAGCAATCTCTGGACTGTTCGTCAATCCTTTAACGAGAATTTGGTGTGCTAGCTAAGATGCACGGTTTCAGAACTTGTGTTAAACCGTCGACTGGCAAACGGGGGAAACTAAGCAGAAATGCTCACGCTGTCACGCCGGTCTTCCAAGGCGACCCTTCTCGATGGATTAGCGCACAAGAGTTCTTGAACCGTGTCTCCAGAACAAAACGGAACGCCTGACTCCCGTCTTGGAAGTAGGACAGATTTGCGTGAATCAAAAGTGGTAGAGCGTTGCCGAAATAACTAACCGCGCGCGGATTCCTATTACGGAGCTCTCTGCCCTGGGGTTGCAGCATGATCCTTGTCGGAAATAATCCCCAATAATCGTTCCTTGCCCACCCGGAACCAGGATTTGCCTACTTCTGACGTTAAGTGTGCTAACTGGGAGAGGAAAAATAGTCCTTCGTTGACTAGAAAATAGGTTCCCGGTGGCCGATGTTAGACGACGACCGAACTCGTTATTGCGTTTAATTCGGGAGCACGGGCAGTGCCTTGTGTTAGGAGAATGGGCAGCTGGCTTCTGTCCCCGGGCAAATTCGGTCATCTAGATACCGTTAGGAGAACCGAATGGGATGGCTTTGGCGATCACACGTAGTCTCCCGAGTGTGCGTTCCAGTCTATGGGAATTTTTGCAACCTGGCGATGGTCGGTCTACTAGTTCCCGTCTGAGAAATATCCTTCCTCACCTTCATTTGTTTCATTACTCTCATGATAGACTTCATAGGTGTTATACGCATGCATGTGCTCTTCGTTAGATAAAGTGGAGGTCTCTCCAACAACAATGATCTTACACTGATAATCAAACAGTCATTCAGACACTAGGGTTTTTATCCGGCCACGGAATTTCCACCAATATCGGGCTAAATGTCATCCACTCCAACAGACTAACCACGTAGTGTTCATGCCTGTAAAAGGTGGCATTAACTTAACACGCGTACGGCGTTCGAACTATACTAATCGGGATGCAGACGTACTATTGTCAAACTGGGCTACATCCTAGAGACACCATGGTAAACTCTGTCGGGTTAAATGATAAGCTAGACCTATAGAAGCTACATCATGGAACAGCAGTGAACAGCGTTCCCTATTCTGCCACAGCCTAAGTTATACAGCCACATAATTTAACAGACCATAATCGACGAACCACAATTTTAATAGTTTAGTTAACCCCATACTGGTAGAATGAATCATCGGGTTATTATACACAAACCCTAAGCGAGGTCAGTCGAGAGTTTTATAATTGGGTCAGATGAATTACGCCAATCTGCCGACAAGAACAGTTAGGGAATGTTTTAGTCAAATGCTGTTTGCTGGCTTCCAGTTTAAATATATGAAAAAAAGTGAACCAGGCGGAGGGAATAACTGCCACTCTGGAGCATGAACTCCTCTATGCCGAAAGGCCCTTGCTTATGGTATTGTAGCGGAAAGCCATCATGACCGGTCTGGCGTCAATGTTCAAGACCTCGCTGCCTCAAGGTCATCCACCCTTTTGCAGCGAGCGGTTTCAGACACGCTGACCTGAAGTCGCACGATCGACAGCCGGGCATACCTGCGTCCGCACAGTCGCAGCTGCCCATGAGGCCACTTCAACACACCTCCACCTGTAACCGCAACCTAGGCCACTGGGACACCGCCCCTCGGAAAATGCAACACGCACTGACTCGACATCACTTGAGCTTGGCCCACGAGCCTACAAAAGCGGCTGCTATCCATGTCCCAGGGACACTCAGACATGACTGGACGCAGTCAACACCAGACCTGGCTTCGCCAGTGGCCGCTGCCGCCTGAGAGGACAACTCCGGGATCTGTGCACAATAAACCTCTCATTCTGGTATCCTCTGTCCTCACCTTACAACACTGGGTTGGACTAAGTGGTTGTAGTGCACAGACCACTTACACACGCCGCCTAGCTGCAACAGTATCCTCAGTGTTCATGGGCGGGTGCTTTACTTACTGGGCAACCCGTTACTAGGACATTCCCTTTTATTGACTACATTGCGTCTGGATGTTTACTACACTCCCGCAGTCCAAAGGCGTGCAAATGCAATGCTACTAGGAACGTCGTCTACTGTATATGCACACTGAACAGCGACCATCTTGGTTTTCGTGGCATGACTTAGCGCGGAAACAATCTTTGTCAAATAAAAGCTATGAATATTTTAAATAAAACTAGTGCACATCTAAAAAGCTGTCGTATTCACTCAATGCTAAGGGGTGTAGAACTTAATCGGAAAACCAGAAAAATCGGTCTGCGGTTAGGTGATATTACTTCCTACTTATTATCCCTTCGTATGTATTCTATAACGTACGCCTCAAAGAACCGTGCTCGAAGTGCTGTTTCACCGACGAGGACCGATTCACCTCATCAAGTAGCAACATTTCTGGCCCCGACATTCGAAAACGTGGGACATGCACAACTTTCCGGTTGGCTGTGAGTGACATGTGAAAAAGCCCAGGTACAGGAATGTCATGAAGACATTAGATTACTGCTTGCGGAAAACGCCATAGGTGACAACCAAATGATAAAATTATGGAAAATGACACTTTATTCTTAGTAGCTGCGCCAATGCATTCGCCAATCTATATAAATAAAAGTGGAAGGGTTTTTCTGTGTGTTATAGGTAATCTCCGAAAGTACTGCACCGATTGCGCTGAGCTTTTAACACAACCTTGCCTGCGCATAGGGCTGGGTTTTTTTTTCTGCTTACCTTCGTGATTATGCCGACGGTATGCCTGTGATGGGTAAGAAAGCGGATTTTTTCCGGCATAACAACGCCAACTGTTGCGGCCACTTGACCTACATCTCGCGCGAACACATGTGCGCCCAGACTGCGACCACTTGACCGACATTCGCTCAAACGCACGCACTGCCCTCGATGGCCGCGCTCACCCACCCTGCGGATACTTGAGCATGCGGCCCCCCCCCTGAGCCGATATAATCTGTGCCGGTAGGCAAACCATCCACCCTGCAGCAAAAAAGCATGCGAGTCTTGGGCTCCGCTTCAAATTGCCCCATTCTACCCACATTAATGGGGCTGTCGCCGCTTCCGCTGGGATTTTCGGGCGTAATGACTGGGTGCGATTAACACCGCCCCCTTAACCCCACCCCCCCGGCACAGCCCACGTAATGGGACTGTCACTCAGTTTCGGGCAGCCCGGCTTGTGGAATCCCGGTTACGGCCACGGCTACCGTGTTCTGCAGCTTCAGGTTTGCTCCGTTCAACAACAGAATGAGCAATACCGAGTTCAACACAGTATCCATTTACTTTTTGGGATGGTGCCGTTGGATATCATTTCAGTGTTAAGATGATAAATCCAGTCAGTGACAAGGAAACGCACGTGAAATGCAGTGGAATGAACTACTACTCATTCCGACTTATGCTTCGACAGAATATAAGTAAACCCCTTTTTGAAATGCCGTCAATTGCTTCATCACTGCTTTGTGAATACGTATGCAAAAGATCGAAACAGGACGCCTGCTTTTCATTCGCTTGAATTTGACCAAGCTGCGCTCTGAGGAATAAATTCCTTTGCCTGATGCAGTTGTTAAAGACTGTAATACAACAAACTTTGGAAGAGTTCCGATTTTTGTCCTCCACATACACAGACAGTTCACGCCATACGCTCGGGTACGCTCGAGGTGCAATCGCT